AACTTCCTGGATGTGGGCAGCACGCAGGGCTCAAGCATCACAGGCAGCACGGCATGCGTGGAAGGGCAGGTGCCACTGCCTGAGGACTCTGAGCTTCGCAAGGTGCTCCCACAATGCAGTCCTGAGAGATTCTCCAGGAGCCCGGATGCCCTTGAGAAGCAGCAAAACAAGAGACAGTGTGTGCCCTGTGCAGAAGTGGAAGGGGGTCTACGTGGTGATGTTTCTTCCCAGTGGGCACAAGGCTGCGTGAATGTTCGGTCTCCCACTGTGAAGGCACAGGGAGGAGACTGAGGCTTTCAGAACCAGCTTCCTTCTCTCATGCTGCAAGCCCCCGTCCCATGCTCTGCAAGAGCACTTCCCAGCGAGCCTGTGAGCCCTGCCCCCTGCGCCACAGCAGAGGGGAGGGAGGCTTGGAGGCTTCTCTGGTCAGGGCCCCCCCCAGTCCCTTCTGGACACAGTGCCACACTGCCCCGCCTCTTCCTGTGCGTCCGCACGAGGCTCCTGGCGGTCTCCTCTGGGGGCCTCTAGCTTCACTGTGCACACGGCGTCCAGCACAGGCACACAGCGAGGCGGGGCTCCAGAGAAACAGCACTCTGCTTCACGGAGGACAGATAATCGTCTCATGTTGGCAGAACAGTCAATTTTCTGGGTCTGAAGTTTACAGACAAAATCCGTCTTTGAGAAGGCAGATTAGCAACGGAATACCTTCCACATGGCTATCTGTGTAAATGATTTGTCCTGAAATCAATCTCTCTGTGTGCCAAACAGCATTCTAGGTGCATCTGTGAGGTGCTTCTGGGTGAGGTTCACACCTGAATCTGCCCTCCGTAGTGAGGGTGGGCCTCGTCCAGTGCACTGAGGCCTGAATACAGCAGAAAGGGTAGTAAACCCCTCTCCGCCTGGCTGCTGAGCGGGACCCGGTGTTCTCTGCCCCCGGACCAGAACGTGCACCTGCTGTGCACGCGCTCTCTGGCCTCCCGGCTCGGGCTCTGACCCCCACCACCAGCCCCCGGGTCTGCAGCAGGCAGGCTGCACATCAGGGGACTCCCCAGCCTCCATAACTTTGTGAGCCAATTCCTTGTGATAAATATATGTTATGCTTCCCTGGAAAACCCACACTAAAACAACCGTGTTCATTACAAAAGACAGGAACCAAAATTACATTTGCTGTACTTTCCCTAATTCCACAATTTTATGTACCTACATACACGCACATGACACAGTTTGGGAAGAAACAAAGCAAAATAGCCTGGTGGTTACAACTGAGTAGTGGGGACTCTGAAGAAATATTGCTTCTTTATCTTTATTCTAATTTCTATGTGTGGTATGAGCATACTTTACTTTTTTCAGAAAATAATATGCATCCGTTTTTCTTCTAAACTCACACTATCCACTGTTAAAGGCATTGATTTACAATCATCACAAACATGGAAACCCCCCGATGTGTATCCACGAGTGAATGAAGGAACAAGAGGTAGGACCGTGCATATGAGAGGCCACACGGACATGAGCAAATCGCTGATGTGCGTCCCCCCGCATCACAGTGAAGTTCAGATGTCCTGCAGAGAGTGACTGTCCCATCCCACGACCCCGAAGTCAAGAACAGGGAAAGCTGGTGGCCAGGGAGGGAAAGCAGATGTGTACGTGTCTGGCATGGGGTGAGGGGGTTATGTTGAATGGACATGAGGAGACTCTGGGGGTGAAGGAAATGTCCTGGATCATGGAGGTGGTCTCACAGGTGTATACATCTGTCAAAACTTACACAAAAGACACAAGAACAGTAACCATCTGTCTCCCGTCAACATCTGGTGGGATCACGTGTCAGCTGTGCGTTTCATGCTAATGCCTATTCACTTGCTGGTTTGACGGGGTTTGGGGGCTTTTCTGCTAAACATTGTTTCTCCTTTAGTTTTATTCCTTCCAAAAATGATGATCTGTTACATGTACCAATGTTGATATGTTCTCAAACAATGTGAGGGTTAGGGCACTGACCCCCCACGCAGTCAAAAATCCGTGAATAACTTATGACTGGGTCCCCCAAACCTAACCGCTAATAGCTATTTTTTTTTATTTATTTTAATCTTTTTTTATTCTTGAGACAGAGAGAGACACAGCATGAACAGGGGAGGGGCAGAGAGAGAGGGAGACACAGAATCTGAAACAGACTCCAAGCTGTCAGCACAGAGCCCGACGCGGGGCTCGAACCCACGGACCGTGAGATCATGACCTGGGCCGAAGTCGGACGCTCAACCGACTGAGCCCCCCGGGCGCCCCTCTAATAGCTACTTTTGAGCAGAAGCCTTACTGGTCACATCAACAGTCGATTGGTATGTATTTTGCACATTGTATACATCATATGCTGAATTCTTACAATAAAGTAAGTCAGAGAAAGGAAAGTGTCGTTGAGGAAATCATAAGAGAAAGCATATTTACAGGACTGTATGGTATGGTTTTTTAAAAATCCATACAAAAAAAACTTTAAAAAAAAATCAACATCTAAGCAGACCTGCACAATTCAAAACCCCATCGATTCCATCTGGATAGAGCCTCCAAACTCTCTCCAGACTAAGAATTACTATTCTATGGGTGCCTGGGTGCTCAGTCGGTTAAGCATCTGACTCTGGATCTCTGCTCAGGTCACGGTCCCAGGGTCATGGGAATAAGCCCCAAATTGGGCTCTCCACTGAGCGTAGAGCCTGCTTGGGATTCTCTCCCTCCCTCTGCCCCTCTTCCCTACTTATGCTCTCTCTGAAAATAAATAATAAACATTAACAAAAATGAATTACCATTTTAAGGGGTATGTCCAGACTTTATATACACACTTAGTACGATGCTTATATAAAATCACTCCCGGGGCGCCTGGGTGGCGCAGTCGGTTAAGCGTCCGACTTCAGCCAGGTCACGATCTCGCGGTCCGTGAGTTCGAGCCCCGCGTCAGGCTCTGGGCTGATGGCTCGGAGCCTGGAGCCTGTTTCCGATTCTGTGTCTCCCTCTCTCTCTGCCCCTCCCCCATTCATGCTCTGTCTCTCTCTGTCCCAAAAATAAACTTTGAAAAAAAAATTTTTAAAAATAAAATCACTCCCAAACGTGTTTATCATTAGGGAAGGAGATGGGACTCTTGGTTGCGACAGAAGTTCAGCTCACAATCGTGGATCACTTACATCTAAAGGTGCTGCAGGTCTGGCTAGACCCAGGGGCTGAGACGCCATTGTTGGGCTTCCTCCTCCCCTCTCTCTGATTGCCTCTGTTTCTGCTTGGGGTTGGTTTCCCTCTCCCGCCACAATGCACAATAATGACAAAGACTCTCTCTCACCATACTGAGAGTCTAATGGGAGGACTACAGTTGGGTCTCATGCCCAACCCGTGAAATGACAACCCCGAACAGGATGGGGAACCACGACCAGTCAGACCTGGGCCACCTGCCTGCGCCCAGGCAGGGTGGGTCCATCACTTCACAGAACCTCAGGGCTGGGTGGGAGCAGCACCCTGGTGAAAGGATGGTGCCGAGCAGACAGAACAAACACAGGTGTCGCTGTGTCAGAGCCACAGGTGAATGTGCAACCACAGTGCATCCTTTGGGGGCACGGCTTGCTGCCGTAATAAAGAGACCTGAAATGCAGTGGCTTAACGAAGGTGGACGTCTCTTTACTTCTAACATAACACTGCCAGAGGTGGACAGGCAGACCGTGGGCAGCGTGGCATCTGCGGGGAGGAAGGACATGCTCACAGATTCAGTGGGACAGGAAGTGGCACGCATCAGCTCTGTCACATACCATTGACCGGAACTTAGTCACGGGGCCACTTGCAGCTACAAGGGAAGCTGGGACGTGCAGTCACCAGCTGAGTGACCGCGAGCCCAGCTACAAGGGTACTACACTAAGGAAAAAGAAATAGATAGGAGTGCCAAATTAAGAACTTCCCCCAACGCTCCAGGGTAATTAACACTGTAATAAACGTACTTTTAAACTACTCGCCCACTAGAATTCTGGAGTTGACAATACTCCGTGCTGGCCAGGATGTGAAGCAGCTGGTGGGGACCAGAAACGGTACAGCTGCTTTGGAAATCGGCTCAGCAGCACCATTCGAGGCAGACAGGCACATGCCCTCTAACCTGGCAGTCCCTCTTCTGAGTGTTTACCCAGCAAAACTGAGGGCAGATGTTCACCAAAAGGCGTGTGCAAGAACGCTCATAGCACGGAGAAACGGGAACCCTCTTGCACTGTTGGTGGGAACGCAAATTGGTGCAGCCACTCTGGAAAACAGTGTGGGGGTTCCTCAAAAAATTAAAAATATACCTACCCTATGACCCAGCAATAGCACTGCTAGGAATTTACCCAAGGGATACAGGAGTGCTGATGCATAGGGGCACTTGTACCCCAATGTTTATAGCAGCACTCTCAACAATAGCCAAATTATGGAAAGAGCCTAAATGTCCATCAACTGATGAATGGATAAAGAAATTGTGGTTTATATACACAATGGAGTACTACGTGGCAATGAGAAAGAATGAAATATGGCCCTTTGTAGCAACGTGGATGGAACTGGAGAGTGTTATGCTAAGTGAAATAAGCCATACAGAGAAAGACAGATACCATATTGTTTCACTCTTATGTGGATCCTGAGAAACTTAACGGAAACCCATGGGGGAGGGGAAGGAAAAAAAGAGGTTAGAGTGGAAGAGAGCCAAAGCATAAGAGACTCTTAAAAACAGAACAAACTGAGGGTTGATGGGGGGTGGGAGGGAGGGAAGGGTGGGCGATGGGTATTGAGGAGGGCACCTTTTGGGATGAGCGCTGGGTGTTGTATGGAAACCAATTTGACAATAAACTTCATATATTGAAAAAAAAAAAAAAGAAAGAATGTTCATAGCAGCTATATTGTAACCTCAAATTAAGAACCATCCAAGCGGACAAAGGAATCCCGGAGTGTTCACATGGTAGAACACCACTCAGCCACAGAAAATGAAGGGTCCACGCCAGGAAACAGATGAATCTCTGAGACATGGTTCTGAGTGTCAAGAGTCCACACAAAAGTGTGCTGTCTATATGTTCTATCAAGTCTGGTTAGAGGCCCCTCCCCGGAGCATTCCCAGTGGGCAGAGGCGGATGGCAGCCAGCGCTGTGCCCTTGACACCCCGGGGCTTGAGTCCCCCCCCCCCCCCACCAACATGCAGGATGTGCTGGCCTCCTTGTCCAGACAGGTGATTGTCCAAACAGGGGCAGGTGGCCTTGGTGGGGGTGGGGGGCATGTATTTTCATTTGTCCCGGTTAATAGGCCAGGTGAGTGCTTCCCTCCAGGGGAAGCTGCCAGATGCTTGCCAGGTGGCCCGACCACTTACACTCACATTGGCACTCAGCTTCCGCTGCTCGGTCCTGCCCAGTGCACATGCCCATCCGTTTTGGGGCTGAATCCTGAGGAGATGCTCCTGGCATTTCCCAAATGTATATGGTGACAGAAGATTTCACACTTCTCGTGGAGGAACCACACCAGCCTGGGAGGCCCTCCAGATAGGTGGAGATGAGTCCCCAGACACATGGGCACAGGGTTCTGATCCAGATTAGCTGGAAGTCCCATGTGCGGGCTGATCCCCACTTTGGGGAGCTCCTGGAGAAGCTGTCCTTGCAGCCGGCCCTGCCTGCATCCACCTGGCCTCATCTTACCTGCTGGAGAGGATCTGCAAGGCCATCGATGCCTCAGCAGGGTTCTGTTGGGTGGAGACTGGGCATGAATTCCTTGGATCACTTTTGTTTCCAAGACAAAGTGTGAGAAGCAGGATTTAAATGATGGGTTATTGTTGGCTTCATTGCTCACGTTTTCATGTTCTTCCTTCTCTAATCCAAACAGAATCGAGATTTGAACTTATTTAGGAGCCCTGAACATAGACTCTGCTTGAAATTAGAAGCCATATGTACACCCCCACCACCACCACCACCACACCTAACAGCATACTCATGGAAGACAAGGGACCTGGAGGGTGTCACATCCAGATGGAAGAGAGGTGGGAAGCTGCCTACCGACCCTGAGGATTGTGGAGGCCACCTGCAGGCAGGAGGGGATCTGGCCAGGCAGCTGTGTCCTGGGGTGGTCGGGGGTTGGGCTTTGGACAGTCGACCTCTTCCTGGGCTCCCACAGTTCCCCAGGTGGGCTCTGTGGCCCATGGGACTCCTGAGGCTCCGTGCAGCTGTACCTGCTTCTCTTGGGACACCTGCTCAAGTAGTGTCCATGTGACATGCTGGACTGTGAGGGCACCCAGCAGAGAGACCACGTGGGGGATAGACACAGAGACAGAGACTGAGAGAGAGAAACAGAGACAGGGCCTGACCTATCCACAGCAGGCTGTTCAGAGGCCACATTCCAGCCTCTGCAGCCCAAGTCTCGGCCACAGCGCTGATGGGCCCTGGGCTGGATCACTGAGGACTATAGTGGCTGCCCCTGCTGACCGGGGACGTTGTGTTGCATCTCAGGGGGCTGCTGGGGCCACTGCAAAGAGAATCATCTCGGGCTGTTGGGGGTCCAAGGCCCTGTTGGAGCAAAGGGAGCAGACCCATCGCCCGGCCCTCCACCCTCAGGACACCCTCCCAACATCCAGAAGCTTCTCTGGGGAGGGCAAGGCTGGCGAGAGAGCCACAGGGATGTATGCTGCCTAGGGCAGCTGAGGTTGAACCACGGAACTAGACTTTGCTGGGCTCACCCACCACTGCATCCAAACCACGGAGATGCCCAGATGGAGGCTACGGCATGTGTTGTTTTGCACGATTCTGTGCTTGGTAAGCAGGTCCCCGCTGATTTCCCTGGGCCCCGGCAGGCCTGAGTGGGGTGCCAGGGGCTCCACACACGTAAGACTCGACTTCTGCCTGTTCAGCAGACTCCACATGTAAGTGAGACCACGCAGCCTTTTCCTTGTGTGTCTGGCTTATTTCACTCAGCATAACGTCCTCCACATCTGCCTGTTCTTTTTTACAGCTGAGCAATATTCCTTCATAAAGGCATCACTCGTCGGATGGACACTTAACCTGTTTCCATGACGGGCCATTGTGAACAATGCTGCCATGAACGTGGGGGTGCGGAGATCTCTTCCAGACAGTGATTGCCTTCCCTTCGGGTAAATCCCCAGGAGTGGAATTATGAACCATTGGGTGGTTCTATTTTTAACTTTTTGAGGACCCTTCATACTGTTCTCCACAGTGACTACACCAGTTTGCATTCCCACCAGGAGGGTTCCTTCTTCTCCACATCCTCGTCAATACTTGTTATTTGAAAATAATGATGATTTCAACAGTGCCCTCATTGCCAGTAAAGAGCCAGGATGCTCCCAGGGAGCTGGGCAGTTTTTTGGCCTGGGAGGAAATAGCCAGAATGTCCTGAAATTCATTGAGTGTGGTGAGCCTCTCCTGGCCACCTACCTCCCCCTGCCCGAGCTGAACTGTTGGCTTGTAGGAATACGCGGCAGGAAGTTAGGGACAGGGGACGGAAAGGCAGACGGAAAGCGAGGAGAGACTCAGAAACAGGGAAGACGCTGGAGAGCAGGGGCTGTGTGGAGTAGGGAGGCCAAGCTGGAAACGGGTCCCTGCCACCTGGGCTGCTCTGAGCGGGTGGGTTCAAGAGGTGCTATCACCGTCCGTCGGGTGGAAGCGGTGACTTCCCAGCCACCGTGAACCTTTATGGGCAGAGGGGCCGTTAGACATGTTGGTGTGTCTCAGGAGGGCTAACCCTAACCTGATCCAGGCCCTGAAACTGCAGATTCTGTGACTGTTAGCAATGATTCGTGCCAACAGCCTTTTAGTGCCCGTGGGTGTTTCCTCTGCCCACACTCACAATAGCGATCCCGTGAGCGTCAGGTCTGACGGTCCCAAACACGTAAAGGGACACGGCTTCTTCCAAGTTTCACCGGCTCTTCCATTTCTCTGCTTGTTTCACAGACACCAGGAGAAGGGAGGACGGGCGCGGAGCAGGGGCACCACTGAGGGCAGAGCAGCACCTGCCCGGAGGCCCCACAGCTGCCCACAGCCGCGTGGAAGAACCATCTTGTCACTCATGCAGACCTTCCCTCCAGGGAGGACATTACAGGACAACAAGTCAGAAGTTCCATTCTTGGGCTTTCTTCTGAGGTAAACCTCCAGCAATGGAGGATCTGCATCCAGAAAGATCCCGAGGGGAACTCTCCTCTTCATATTCCAACTTGGATGAGAGCTTCCCTGGCACCAGTCTTGTGCAGCCTCTCAGGGCGTCAGGGGCTCAGCCGCACCTGCTGCAGGCGTGGGCTCCCCTTCTTCCTCCCTGGGAGGTGATGCCCAGGGTCCTTCCCTGCCGGTGCACCAGGTCTCCCCAGGAGGGCTCGGCCTCGTCTCTCCCCTGCAACTTTCAGTGTCCTGTGACAGGGCCAAGGGGGGCAAGATCCCCAATCCAGGGTCACCAAACAGCGCCCCGGGTGGGGGCACTCGATGCCGACAGAATCCAAAGGCAGAGATGTGAGTGGAAATGACACAAGAAAGTAATTCATTTCAGTAATGACAACACCATGAAGACAAGAGACCAACATCTCAGAGACTATATCCCAGGAGCCGAAAATACATCCTGGCTTATGTCAGGAAAATGTAAGAGAGAGGCCCCTGGCTGCGTGCAGGGGGGCAGGTGTGTGCGTGAGGGGGGGAAAGTGAGTACATGCAGGGGGCCAGTGGGTGTGTTCAGAGGGGCAGGGGGCAGGTGGGGGTGCATGCAGGGACATGTGGGTGCGGAGAGAGGGGCAGTGGGGTAGGGCAGTGCATGAGGGAGGTAGGTGGGTGTGGGGGGGGCCATGTGGGTGTGCGCAGGGAGGTGAAGGTGGTTGGGTGCATGTAAGTGGGCAGGTGGGTGCGTGCAGGGGGAGTGATGGTGGGCGGGTGGGTGCAGGGGGGAAGATGGGTACAGGAAGGGGGGCATTGGGGTGAGTGGATACATGTAGGGGGCACACGGGTGCGTGCAGAGGGGCTTGAAACAAGGCACATTTACTATCTCATGGTGTCCGTGGGCGGGAGTCCGGGAGCAACTCAGCTGGGTCCCCTGAGACGAAGGTGTGGGCTGGGGCTGGGGTCCCATCTGAGGCCTCCCCCAAGGCAGGACCTGCCTCCTCACTCAGGCCTTAGGCTGCTCAGTTTCCATGTGGGTCAGACCCTCTCTGCATGGCCACGGGTTTCCTCAGGCCACCTGGGGGATGTGTCTACTGGAGACACTGTGACACTCTTATGGGACATAATCACATATGTGTTATCACCTCTGCTGTGTTCCCATGGATATCAGGAGGCAGAGATCTGGGTGCACCTTGAAGTCTATCTGCCACAATGTCCACAACACAGCTTCTAATTTTCAGAAGCAAGAGAATAGGAACACAGCAGAGATGGGTAGCTAATGACACGGATTCTACGGAATGGTGCTATTGCCAGGCAGGGGCTCCCAGGCCGGAGCCCATCCTCAGCACTCACCCCTCTCTCACCAGTGGAACATGAGTGGGTCCAGCAAGTGCCACTTCCAGTCCAGAGGGTTTAGAAGTGCTGTGACCTTCCCGTGGTCTCTGTCCCCATCTTCGGACTGAATTGGAGAGCCAGCAGGGGAGAGAGGTCTTGGGTCCATAATTCCTGCTTGGAGGAGAACCACCAGACACATCGTGTCCTCCACAATGTCCTCCCTCTTGTGTTAGCTGTGCAGACTTTAGGATTTATTTAAGATAGCAGCTGGTGTTAGCTTAAATATGGTGATGTACAGTCCCATTTAAAAACTTCTGTGTGCATGTGTGGGGTGCATATAGGTGACAATATGATTGTCCTGTCTCATCATCAGGGGGCAGAACTGCTAGCTGCCTCCTCCTACCCAACCAGGTACTCCACGACTTACAGTCGTATAACGATCAACACATATGAGCTCTCCTGGTTTCTGGAGGTCAGCAATTTGGGAGCAGTTGGGTGGGTGTTTGGGGCTGTGGTCTCATCTGAAGGTGTGACTGAGGCCAGAAGACTCCCTTCCCTGGCAATCCCTCACACGGCTGGTTCCTCTCCATACATGGCTCTCCACAGGACTGCTTGGGCATCTGCAGGGCATGGTGGCTGGCTGCTCTCAGAGACAGCCTGGCAGGGTGATTGTCTTTTATGACCCAGGCTTGGAGGTCACAGTCATGTCTACAAGATCCTATTGTGACACAGGTCACTGGGGCTCTGTGGGGGAGGAACAGCAGAGAGAGTGAGGACCAGATGGAGGGAAGGCTGGTACCCCTGTGTCCATCACTACCAACTTGCCACTATAAATAGGAGAGCTCGAGAGAGGGAGCTCTTATACCCCACACCCCAAATCCAAAGTGCACCCCAGCTCTGGTTGGCAGGTCCTCCCCAGAGATGCCTGTTGGGGGGATTATTCTGTCTCCACATATTAGTTCAGACGACTGGCCAGATCACTGTCCAGTTTCTCCCCAGCCCCCGAGGCAACCACCTCTCCTGGCCTCCAGAAGTAGGTGGAGGGCTGGGCTCCCGGTGGGGGTGGGGAGACATTTGACCAATGATACTGTGCCCCTAGCACTGGGAGCTGAAAGCTGGCATGGCTCTTCTCTGTGCTCTGTGGGTCATCCCTGGAGAGTCTGAATTCTGTCTGCTGTCTCTAGTCATGGTCTTTGACGAAGGGGGTGACATGGTATCATTCCAGACTGTGTTTCCTGCCAACAAGGAGGATCTAATGCCCTGAGACTCAAATTTTCAGTCTGTAAAATGGACAGGACAACACCCACCTCTCTGAGCTGTCATGGTGATAACATGGGGGATGGTGAGGATGTCTCTGCTGAGCCTGGGCTCCTGGCAGGATCCTGCTGTCTGTGGGAGAGGAACGTGACCCTCCATCAGTAGGCTGGGAGAAGAACTGAGAAGGCACAGGATGGCTTGTCACAATGCTGATCACACAGGTGGCCACTTGTAATTCGAATTCTGACCTGGAATCTTTGAATGGCACAAAGCCCTCTGTGAGTGTGGGCATGTTCATGTCATCATCACGACCATCGGCTGTGGGTGTGAACATACCTGGAGGGCTGCTAGCAAAGCTGGTGTCCCAGAAGGGCCGTCACCCCCGAGGCTAACCACCCCCCACCCCCCGCCCAGCACAGTGTGTGAGGGTGGAGTGGGTCACCTTCATGTTGGTCACACGATGTTCCATGCCTAGCAGTCCAGGAGGGCAATGGTGAATCCTAAGACAGCCTGTCACAGCCAGGCCCTTTCCTTGCTCATGACGTAAGTGACCCTATCTGATCTTCATTATGGGGTGGCCTGGCTGGCCAGGGAACTCGCCCCTGGTGCCACAGCTGGCTGGAGGCATCCCTGAGCCCTGCAAGCCGTGGCCTGCGTAGTTGGGGTGAAGCACTTCTGCTATTTGGGAGACAGAACCTTTCTGTGGGGAGATACCACAAGGCTGGCTCTTCTAGAACTTTCCTGTTGCTAAGGTGACAAACTAGTGGTGATAACTCAGATGCCTGATAAGATGCTCAGGTTGGTTTCACTTCAGCAAAACCACTGGTATAAGATTAAAATTCTGATATACTCTCTGTTAAAAGACAAAGTTTTCTTGGATTGTTGGTCTGCTTTTGGAAAAAAAATAATAAAGTTTTTTTTTCTTCCTCTGTTGCCCAAAAAGATGGAAAAACTATGATTTTAACCAAAAGAGCAGGACAGCATGCCCTTTTGAGTTGATTTGCTCAAGCCTTGGTTGAAATTGCCCCTCCTTTGATCCAAAGGCTGGGAGATGATGATAATGTCCTTGCTGCCGGCCTCCAAACGTGCCACATTTGTGTTGTTTCTGCAAGGCAGAGGAATGGATGCCTGTGCCATATGAGGGTTGGGTAACTAAGATATGAGAAGGGTTTTACCGGGATACATGGGGCCATTTTGCTACACTGAGCCCAGTATATGCCAACTTGTACCAATCTAGTGACTGTGAAATGGACACCCACATGGCTGGAACATATTTACGTGGGCATTGCTGAAAAAAAGGCAGGGGAATAGATGTCGACTTTGGCCCTCTTAGCCCCCCTTCAATGGCCAATTTATCCTTGGGTGGGGGGCCAATGGTTTTCGCTAGCCTTTTAAAATAGATTTGTAAAGAGGAATGGTTTTATTATGATCGATACATAAATTACTATTGGGATAAGTTAAATTAATGCATCCCTCAACAACCATGGGAGTCTTTCATGGTCACAGTCCATACTCCCAAGGTCCCGTGGGCGGGAAACAGGTAGGAGAAATCAGGGAAGACCAGGTCAGCTCTCGGAAGTAGGATCAAGCCTGGGTAAGAGCAACTACTCCCAGCAGCTCAAGAGACTGACAGGGCTTCTGGCTGCCGATCCCGTAGCCAGCCAAAATGCGGGGTTAGAAGATGAGGTTTCTCCTGGCCAGCTATAAGGGATGCCTTTTTCTCTTTTTCCTATAGATGGGCAATTCCCTAACCGAGACCAATACCCCTTTGGGACGCGTTCTGAAAAACTGGGATGACTTTGATCCACAAACCCTGAAGAAGAAGCAACTCATTTTCTTTTTGCCCCGAGGCTTGGCCCCAAGGCCAATTGGAGGAGGAAACCTGGCCGCCAGAGGGAAATACCGATTATAATGCCATCCTACGATTGGACTTGATCTGCAAATGTGAGGGGAAGTGGGGAGAAGTCCCTATGTTCAGTGTTTTGGGGGCCTTAAGAGACAATCGAGGTAGATGTCAGGCCAACCCTTTCTGAAGTCCAGTCATCAGGAGGGTAAACAACTGAGGGCCCTTTGCCTGTACCCAAAGCAGACCTAGAGAGGGAGGAAGCGAAGGCTTTCACCTCAGCCTCCCTCTGCCTCGGGTCCTCCATCCATATACCCAGACCTCAAACGTGCACTTCTGCTCCCTGCTGCCCACCTTACCCAGGCCCTCCCCGTAGCGTGGCAGGCGTGTTTCCCCTACAAGAAGCTGGAGCGCCGGAAGGAGAAACCCAGGGAGGCACCACCATGACAAGACTACAAGTACCTCTTTCGCTCTAAGATTTAAGAGGGGCAAAAGGATATCTAGGTACATTTTCTGATGATCTGGATAAGTATATAAAGGCTTTCCAGAATCTTAGGTAGGTTTTTTAATTGACCTGGAAAGATATAATGCTTTTGTTGAATCAGACTCTTAATGAGACAGGGAAGCGTGGCGGTCTGGCAGCAGCTGAGAGATGTGGGGATGAGGAACTCATTAACTAATTACCAGGGGACTGGAGGTCCTTCAGGGAACTCCCAGTTCCCTACTGGATTTCAGGCAGTTCCACCCCAAGATCCAAACTGAGACTCTGTTAATCCCGCTGGGGGATTGGTATCGCTGCCACTTCCAAGCTTGTGTTTTGGAGAAATTAAAGTCTGAGGTTAAACCCTTAAATTATGTCAAGTTAGCCACTATTTTACAGACATAGGACAAGAGCCTGGTGGCCTTCCTGGAAAGGCCTCCCCGCTCTGAAGCTGCGAAGATTCTAAAGGACAAATCTGTCCGAAAGACAAAATTGGCCCCTGATATTCAAAGGAAGCTGCAAAAATTGGCTATTGGTCCGGAAGAGACCCTGGAGGAGCTTTTACAAGCTGCCAATTGGATATATGACTATCGAGATCAAGAGGAGAATCAGCAACAGGAAAGAAGGCTTAAAAAAAAAAAAAATCTGGGGCACCTGGGTGGCTCAGTTGGTTGAGTGTCTGACTTCAGCTCAGGTCATGATCTCGCGGTTCGTGGGTTCGGGCCCTGAGTTGGGCTCTGTGCTGACAGCTCAGAGCCTGGAGCCTGCTTCGGATTCTGTCCCCCCTCCCTCTCCCCTACTCACACTCTGCCTCTCTCTCTCTCTCTCTCTCAAATAAATAAATAAATAATAAAAATAATTTTTAAAAAATGTAAGGCCTTAGTCTCGGCCTTACATACTATGTCGAACCAGACTTCCCAAGGCCCTGGCACCAAGTGCCATATCCGAGGCCATTCAGGGCGCTGGAAACACAAGTGTTCTCAGAGGGGACAACCGAAGTCGAAACCCCATGAGCCAGGCCCCTTGTGTGGAGACGGTCACTGGAGATCCGGATGCCCTCGGGGACCTCAGTCTGCAAGGGCTCAGACACCCAGTGTCCCTGAAGGGAGCGGATCGGTCCTGGGGCTCATCACAGTGGCCCCCCTGAACCAACTGTCCACTGAAACCCAGAGCCTCGGGTAACTCTGGAAAACGGAAGGAAAACCGCTCGAGTTCCTTCTTGACACTCAACGGCCTTTTCCGTCCTTTCCCCGGCCAACCATCCAAATGCCGCGTAACTCTTAGAGGCGTCTCCAGAAAACTTATGGCTAAATTTTTCTCTCAGCCCCTGGGGTGCATATGGGGAGACTTTTTTTTTCCGCCCTCTTTTTTGATAAAGTCAGAGAGCCCCACTCCCTTGCTAGAAAGGGACATTATGACTGAATTAGGGACGACGGTGCTACTAGCTCCAGGACGGATAAATAATTGTCTGAACTTAGAGTAACCTGGATATTGGAGAGGTAAAGTTAAATAGTCCTCGTGGAGTTTGTTCCTGTGGAAACTGGATGGCCAAAGGAAGATTCGAGGATCGAGAACCAAAAACTAGTTAACTTGCTTAATTATTCTAACCAATAATATCACAAGATCCAAATAAATATGGAAGAGAGAGGAAAACTTGTGGTTACATTTTTTTAAAAATGACCAGACATGTCAGGGACTTTTGGGATGGCTACAATGCATCTTTCCTTTCCATGGTGTGGTCTCCTCCGTAGGAGGCATTGCGTTCGGAATATTAATGCTTGTTAGTCTAATACTCTATGTATGTCATTTGTAGAAGCCGATGATATGCCAGAAAAATAAGACCTCCAAGAAAATTCTGCTAGCCCAGATGTTCCAAACACCCTCCCGTTATCTCGGACCTCTGGATCGACCTCGGAACCTGCCCTGACTGCCATACCCCGGTCATTGCCCCCTTTCAGCAGGAGGGAGTTAAGATCGATCGTTGTCCCAATTCCTAACGGCAGTTAGGAGTCATGTATTCAAAGTGGGGAATATGATAAGAAAAGATGAGATTCAGTAGGCAGAGAAGGAACGGTTAGGACCTGGGGCCCCTGGGTGGAAAAACAAGAACAACAACACATATTTTGGAAAAATGCTGGGAGCATCTGACCACAGCAAACCCCCTTGGGCGTAAGGTTCTTCTTAAGAAACAAATGTCTGTGCCTTATGTCCAAAATAACCTATTATTATTGGAAGATAAACCTGACTGTGAGGAAAGCCCACACTTCCTGAGCATGTTTGAGCAAGACCTCAAAAATAAAGGAAATATAAATGAAAATGGAATCAACTTAGAAAAGGCGGGATTGTGAGAACTAAGGGAGATGATTCATTTCCAGAAGTACCAACTAAAAGCTGGGCTATCTGGTTAACAGGAGTTTCCGGCCTATTGGAAATCTGCACGGACCTCCCCACTCCCACAGTGGGGTCCCAAACCCTTAGACACCTCACTTCCTCATTCTCCCACCCTCCCGCCAGCCTCCATTTGGCGGGATTCTTTTTCAAAGGCTTTGCAATGAGCACGCGCCACCGAACTGACGTCTCTGCGTCGCCCCAGGGAACGTCCACTTGTTCTAATCAGACTACGTTGTGCCTCCCGTGGGCGGGCCCGGGCCACGTCGGCGTAAGGCTGTACCCTCTGTAGCACGCAGCCAATGAGGAAGCAGGGGAGGGACTTCAGCTAGGAGATAAATCGTCTGCTGTCACCGCTCGGAGTTCGCCTGTCCGTCAGACGCCCGCTCTTGTAAGAACGCTGATCAGAGCCTCGCTTCACTGCGCTCGGAGTCTCCGCGGCCCCGCTTAGATTGGGGCAGCGGGCTTGTGTCTCACACCTTTGGTTCCTGTCAACCACAAGTCCTTGAGATTCCAGCAATTCCATCCCTTTGGGCCGGGCAGAAGCTGCAAGTATGATCCTCACAAGAAAGACAGAAGGAAGAAAAACCCCACACACAGTTGCACTTTTTTATATAGAATTTGTACAATATATTTCTCTTCATTTGCATATTTTACCCACAACTCAACATCCTTTTTACAGGCTGAAATCACTCAGCTTGATATAATCAAAATTCTTTCTTTCAAACAAATAAGAAAAATTCAAAATCGTAAACCCGTAAGAAAACAAATTAAAAACAATGATGAAAATAAGTCACTCCTCCCCTTAGGAACAGTGTCTGTACAATATATAGGATTTGGGTCAGAATCTCTTTATAAATCAGGCACATGTTTCCACGACACCTTTATTCCTGCCAGTTTTATCTCCTGCCTGGAAGTTCTGCCTCCAAGAAGGATCAAGGCAGGCTGGTCTCAGTGGTGTCCGTTCTTCCAGACACTGCGGGCCGGTGGGGACCAGGGGCCCAGATGGGTGGGGCGGGCTGAGCGGGGGGAGAGCAGCGGCTGTGTGCGAAGCAGAACCCGGGTTCACTCCGTGCAAAGTCAGAGAGGCCAGAACGCAAGGGCGGCGTAAGGGCGGCGTGAGACCGGCGGCGCGGGGGCCGGCCTTTACTCAC